AGTCATTCTCTGGCAACCTCAGTGGGACAGGGCCTAGGTCTAAGGAGAGCCAATGAGAATCCATCCTGTTTATTTTAAAGATTATCAGACACATAATCTTGCAGGAAAGCTTGGCTGTAAGTTTCTACTTTAAAAGGTTTTTGAGGGGATAGCTAGACTAGCATTAGCAGGGGTCTAGTGTTTTCTGTTCATTTGTAGGTGGACCTAGGATGGCTCCAGGCACCTTTAGAAATAAAACTATCAGCTTTTGTTTCTTACAATATTCTTGCCTAATTTCAATATCTAGAACTGTTTTTAAAATGTAGGTTTTAAATTTTCTTTTTTATTAAATTTGTTCTTTGACATTTTTACGTACGGATAGAGTGTATTCTGGATACTCCCACTTCCTAGCACCCTTGCCTCCTTTCTATCATTTTCTATCACTTTTAATTCCTTCTCCTCATGTATTGTTGTTTTGTTTTGAGACCCAATTTGTTTATCGAAGGTCATGTGTATTACTTTGGGTTTAGAACTCTCCACTGGAACGTTGTGATCTTACCAATGATTGTTCAACTGTTAGCACTGACTCCCCAGTTCCCAGAATATATCTGTGGCCACTAGTGCATTAGGTGGAAGAGGGGAGTAGGACTTCTTCGGTCACTGCCTCATCCTTGGTTGGCTGTTAAAAGGCTCATTCTTATGCATGTTCAGTGCAGGCAAGCACAGATGTATAGCAATCATGAATAGAATGACTATATCGTGCCAGAAGATAGCATTCCCTGGCCCTCTTTTCTACCTCTGGCTTTTACATTATTATTCAGGTGTGGTGAAGCCAACAGATCAGATGATTGCCATTGAAGAAATAGTTACTATGGAAGGAGAGTGGGCTCAGAGGTTAAGAGCACTGGCTGCTCATGCAAAGGACCTGGATTTCGTTTGAAGCACTACATGGGAGCCATCAACTATCTGTAATTCCACTTCCAGGATGATCTGATGTCTTCTGTTTTGAAAGTAGTTGAAGACCTACAAAGACATTTGACCAAGGAAGGTATACAAATGAACAAGAACCCTCTATAAAAGGGTTCAGTATCACTAATCATAACGTAAGTACAAACCAAAAGCACAAAGAAATTTCACCTTTGATAGGAAAAACAAATCAAAATGTAAAAGAAACTAAAAAATAAACTTAAAATGAGAAGTGTTGGTGACTATACATAGAAATTAGAAACTTTGTATACTGTCGGTAAGAAGGTAAGATGATGCATCTGCTATGAAATACAGAAGAGTTTCCTAAGACTATTAAAGATAGAATTACCATATGATTCAGTAATCCCACATCTAGGTATTAATAAAAACAAAAACAAAACAATGGATCCAAGCACCAAATCCTTATAAGTGAGTATGTATCCAGATGTAACTATAGAAACCAGGATAATAAAAAGGAACCAGAGAGGTAAAGGAAGATATAGAACTGTAGAAAACAGGTGTTACTAAGGGAGAAATGGATAAAAAGGGGTTATTTAAATGGGATGGGGAGGGAGGGTTATACAAGGAAACTTTGGGATAAAGGGAAAGAAAGAGCTCAAGAGAGGAGGGACCATAGGTGACAGGTATTATTAAGGGAGAAATTGGGAAAATGGGGGTACTTTAAATGAGGAAACCATGGCAGGAGAGAGAGAGAGAGAGAGAGAGAGAGAGAGAGAGACAGGGAGAGAGAGAGAGAGGAGAGATAAATAATGCCTAGATAGTTTTAAAAAACCAGAGGGAAACATATTTGTCCAAAAACCTACTGGACAAATTATACATAAATTATCTCTATGTGAGTCCATGTGTATTGCTAAAGGCTACATAACAAGAAACAGTGCCAGACAGGAGAGACCTTCTTTTGAGTTGTTGGCCTGGGTGGTCCAAGAGACTCCTAAAATTACTCAGGCTATTGCCACAACCCTTCATGGCCTCCCATAACTTGAAGGTAAAGACCCTACCGCCTAAGACAGAACATACTTTAAAAACAAGATTTGGAGCAGTAGAGCTGCAACTGACCTGCAACCACTTCCCCTGAAGGCTAGCTCTCATAGCTTTGGAGAGTGCTATGAAGGTGCCAAGGGAAAATATCAATGGATGATCCAACACCAGTTTCAAGACCAAATAACCACATCCGTGGCCAGCACAGCATACATCATTGGTGCAGTAGTGGCACACTTATCTTGGGGGCAATCAAGAGCTACCTAATTTGACTAAACGCCCACTTAAAGGGAGGAAACTGAAGTGTGGTAATGTAAACATAACCTAATACACATGGATGGAGTGGCCATAAATCTTAGAGAAAACCCCATGACTGTCACATTGCTAGACTAATGTGATTTCTTACTATGTGCAAAATATGTATCCTTATATTTACACACAAATATCCCAGTCACCACTCATTAAAGAGCTCATTTTGCACCAGAGACTATTACCAAGTACCACAACTGGTCACACATGGAAATTGTCAATGAATTGAGCAGGCCTCAGTGACACATCTACAATGCAACTTCTACACCTGTGGTTCATGGAACATAGAACAGGGATAATAAAGAGGACGCTATGAATCTCTCAGCTATCAATAATGAAGCTTCCTCATGCATTGGAGGGCCACAAAATGCCACATATAGCCAAAGTGTAGAGATCAAGAGTCTGCTTAATGCTAGTCCTTGGACAGGACCCCTTTATTAAGCTTCACCCACCCAAGGATCAGGGACGATTTCGGAAGAGGGGACAGAAAGATTTTAAGAACCAAGGAGGAGAAGCAGGACCATATGGAAACAGAGTCCTACAAACTACTGGGAACCTGCTTGTATGATTCTATGGCAATGGTGTCAGCATACATAAGTCCCATGCAAATTCAGGCAGACAGTAACCCAGCATAGAACTGGGAAAATGAACAGCAGGCCTCAATCTTATCTGAAGGAATGTTGGCAACTGATTGCTGCTACATGAAGAAGAGCTGATCTTTGTAAAACAAGGGACTCTAGATAGGCTGACTAGACTTAGTGGATGGACTTGCACTGGAGAACTGCTGAAGACACTGAAAACCCAGTGGGTCTTAACAGGGATGACAGGGTATATGGGCTCCAGTGGAGGGTGGGGGGCACAATGGCAAGGTGCCAGTGTGGATGGAGGTATAAAGACAATTAAGATTGTTTGAGCTGTCCTGTATGAAATGTACAAACATTCAAAAAAAGAAAGGTTTTTAAAAAAACTGAACATAAGACCTGGAAAAGATAATTATACTCCCATATTTAAGGCAATAAGAGTCATAATAATGAAGATATGGAAATAATTTATGTCATGTCCATTGACATAAAGTTTTTTAAAAGGAAAGTCAAAATACATCTAGACAGGATTTTGCAATGATATGGTGGTTGTATTTTTTAATTGTTGAGGAACTTCTATGTATTTTCCACAAACGCAGTATGAAGTTATATTTCCACAAATATAGCTACTGTTTCTTGTTAGCCATATCTTCCCAGAACTTGCCTTTCATCTTTCTGAGAATAACTATTATAACTTGAGTGAGGAGATACTGCATTGTAGCTAGAATCTGCACTACCTGATGATTAGTGATATTGAACACTGTGAAGATTGTTTCTCCCTCCTCCTGAATACTTCCCTGAAACTACCATGTAAGAAAATTAATTTAGAATGCCAGAAGATGAATGTCTACCCAGATTATAAGAGGTTAACACCAACTGCCAGGCCTATGTCTAAATACTTTTGTCCAGACTACCTTCCATCTAAATACTGTTTTAGGAGTGAGTTCAGGGAAGACCAGCTAGACTACCCAACAGATTCATCCAATAAAGATAAAGAGATCAATGCTTGTCTATGCCCAAAATAAAAAAGACCAGTTACTTGCTTTTTCGCAGTTGATTTTATGAGGAGATCCAAACTCATTAATCTCTTTTTCTAAAGCTCATTGTTTCATGGTTCATTCTAAAATGAACCCTGTAAGTCTCCAAAAAGAACCTGAATTCTACATTTGGTGTTGGTATTTTTTTGCCCATTTTTCTTGAGGAAAAACTCGAAATCATGGATAGCAATTTAGGCTGCCGTCATCACTTTGCCAATGTGCAGAGTCTGGAAAAGGGAGTCTGTCTTATACAGAATGTGTTTAACTGTAATTCTTAGAGAACTACACTGGGGTATGTAGGGCACTTTTCAGAGCTATGTGCCATAAGCTATTACTAACAGCCGTCTTAGCTACAATCATGTCTGTTATAACACAAGAGAGAGCTAGAGAGAGTGAACAAAACACACACAAAACAGAGAGAGATAGTGACAGAGATTTTTAATGTTTCCTCATAAAGAGGATTTCTGATAGATTAATATTTGTTTTGAGATTATCTTAGATAATGTCTCCATCCTAATTTTTTAAAAAGGAAATCATGAGGTGAACATTCCACAACTGCCATTCTTTTTTGCCTGAGAGCTTCCATTAGGATAATTAAGCTTCCTGTATTGGTTTGTTTTTTTATACTATGTCTGTATATGTTCCACCTGAAAAAGAAGAAAAGGAATGCTCCGGAGATAAACCCAAGAACTTATGGGCTGCTCAGTAAAATAGTTTTTATCTACCATCAGTTTCTCTCTTCTCACAGCTAGACCTACATGCTCAGGTATAGTTACTTGATACCACATTTTGTTCTCAGATATATTGATGGGAATAGTTTATTTAATGATGGAGAAAATAGAAATAAACACCATAATGTGAATTTTCTCAAATTTCTCTCTCATATTATTTTAATTTCTTAATTTATGCATTTTTATTTTATGTGAACGAGTATTTTGCCTACATGTGTGCATGATGCCCATTGAAGCCATAAGAGGGCATTGGATCCTCTGGAACTGGGGTTATAAATGGTTGTTAGCTGCCATGTGGGTGTTGGGAATCCAACCCAGGTCCTCTGTAAGAGCAGCCAGTGCTGAGCCATAACTCTAGTCCCTCTCTCTTATTTCTGTATTTTTTTCTTTCCCCAGCCACATGCTTCTTTCTAATGAATTGACCATTACATTTTCAAATTTCTGAAATGACCAACAGACCATAGAAAAGCCATTTCTTTAGGCATCTGCTTGAAAACAACAGCTTCAACAAACTGTTGGTCTTGATTCAGGCCCAATTCTCTTATTTCTTAATAATCTATATCCACCATAAAATTTGGTCAAACAAAGACTAATTAACATGGAAGATCACAGGAATTAATAAAGTGTCTTATCTTCCCAGAAATTATCTTTATTTTTTCTACAAATATATCAGAGGACACTTTTTAAAGTTTAGTTTAATTTTTACAAAAACTTTATTGAGAATTTCATACATGTATATAAGGTGTTTTGATCTAATCCATGCCCAATCCCTCTCCTCCAACATTCCCCTCTGAAGAGGTAACCCTGAAATCTTTCAAGGATAAGACACAAGCTCCCAAATATTTTGACATTTTTGGCCTTTGGAACAAAGTATGTTGCTAACAGGCCCAAGGACATTTAGACTTTTAGCCAAGAAACTGGCTACATTTTGGGAGGTATTTTTACCCTAACTGCCTAGAAAATTCCTACATCCTATTCTTATCACACCATCCTCTGAAGGGGTTATCCAAATAGCAAATAGGAAATATGGATGCCGACCACTCTGGCTTCTTCCATACTGAACAGGGATGCAGGGTGAGGCAATTGGAGTACCCCTTCAGTGGGTCTATCTAAAAGACTCCCAAATTGCATAACTAGTCTCTAAAAGAAGAAGAAAGTCCTTGAATCAAGAAGAGGATATGTGGAAGAGAAGTATAGGTAAGAGTAATTAGTATTACAAGTTCTAGACAGGAGACTAGAAAAAAGAAGAGGGTAATTTTCAAATGTTCATATGAAAGTCCATTGGAGTTTCTTGACAAGGCCTTCCAAAAGCATCCCTCTGTTGGGTTCTTCATCATTTTTCTTTTGTCTTCCAAGACTTGACTAGTTGGCCGGGAATAGTGGCTGGATACTCAGGTGAGGGTCCAGTGACCCTGCTTGGCACTCCTTTAATGAATAAGCACAACCAATTGTGAATATGTTTAGTGATCAGGCTCAGCCAAAGGCATGATGATGGTAGTTATTTCATGCAGAAGGGACTGCTGTGTAGCATTTTCTTATTAAAAGGACCTGGAATTTAAAAGGATTTGGTGCTAGGAGCCACATATGAAGGAGAACATAGGTCATGTGTTTTTCTGAGTCTATGTTATTTCACTTAGTATAACAGTTTCTGGATCCATCCATTTAGCTTCAAATTTCATGATTTCATCTTTCTTTACTGCTGAACAGAACTCCATTGTGTAAAAATACCACATTTTTGTTAACCACTCTGCAGTTGAGGGACACTTAGGTTGCTTCCATCTCTTAGCTATTGTGAAAAGAGCAGCAACAAACATGGTTGTACAAGTGTCTCTAAAATAGGATGAGTCCTTTGGGTATATGCCAAGGAGTGGTATAACCGGGTCATATGGTAGGTTCATTTTTAATTTTTTAAGAGTTCTCCACACTGTTTTCCATAGAGGCTGCACAAGTTTGCAACCCCACCAGCAGTGAACGAGTTTCCCTTTCTCCACATCCTCGCCAGCATTTGGTATCATTTGTTCTCTTGATCCTAGCCAGTCTGATTCAGGTAAGGTGATAACTTAGGGAGGTTTTAATTTGAATTTCCCTAATTACGAACGATGTTGAACACTTTTTGAGATGTTTCTTAGCCATCTTTATATGTTCCTTTGAGAACTCTATGTTCATATCTTTATCCCATCTTTTAATTGGATCATTTGGTTTCTCTTTCTTTGTTTTTGAGTTCTTTATATATTCTGGAAGTTAAACCTCTGTCAGATGTGTCACTGGTGAAGATTTTTTCCCATTCTGTGGGTTTTCTCTTCACTTTTTTGATTGTTTCTTTTTCTGTACAGAAGCTTTTTAGTTTAATGAGGTCCCATTTGTTGATTGCTGTCCTTAATTCCTGAGCAACTTCTATCTGATTTAGAAAAATCTTTTCTAACACCTATACCAGTAAGTTACTCCCAATATTTTCTTCTAATAGTTTCAGGTTTTCCAGTTTCACATTGAGGTCTTTGATCCATTTGGAGTTGACTTTTGTGCAAGGTGACAGATAAGGATCTAACTTCATTCTTCTAAGGTGAAGATTCTGTTTTGCTAGCACCATTTGTTGAAGATGCTGTCCTTCCTCCATTGTGTTTTCTTGGCACTTTTGTCAAAAATCAGGTGACTGAAATTGTGTGTACTTAGGTTTGGATCTTCAATGATGTTCCATTGATCTTTGTGTCTGTTTTTGTGCCAGTACCATGCTATTTTTATGACTATGGCTCTGTAGTATACTTTGAGATCTGGTATAGTAGTTCCCCCAGCATTGTTCTTTGTGCTCAGGGTTGCTTTGGCTGTCTGGGTTTTTTTTGTGTGTGTCTTCATATGAATTTAAGGATGGATTTTTCTAATTCTGTGATGTATGTCATAAGGATTTTGATTGGGATTGCACTGAATCTGTAAATTGCTTTTCATACAATGGTCATTTTAACAATTTTAATTCTTCCAATCTAAGAACATAGGAGGTCCTTCCATCTCCTGGTGTCTTCCTCAATCTCTTTCTTTTTTTAAAATTTTCATTGTAGGGACCTTGGTGTCTTTCTTCAGATTTATTCCAAGATATTTTAATTTTTTTTAGCAGTTGTGAATGGGAACATTTCCTTGGAGTCTTTCTCCAATTACTTATTATTGGTATATAGAAAAGCTACTGATTTTTTTAGATTGATGTTTTACATGCCACTGTACTGAAAGTGTTGGTGAGTTCTAGGAATTTTCTGGTGGAACTTTGGGGATCTCTTAGGTATAGTATCCTATCATCTGCAAAAGTGATAGTTTGACCTCATCTTTTCCAATTAGTACTCTTTTAATTCCCTTCTCTTGTCTTATTGCTCTAGCAAGAGTTTCAAGCACTGTGTTGAAAAGGAGTGGAGATAGTGGACATCCTTTTCTGTTTCCTGATTTTAATGGGACTGCTTCCAGTTTTTTGCCATTTAGAATGATATTGGTGGTGGGTTTATTGTATATAGCTTTAATTGTGTTGAGGTATGTTCCCTCCAGTCCAATTCCTTCTAGGATTTTGAACATAAATGCATGCTGAATTTTGTTAAAAGCCTTTTCTGCATCTATTGCAATGACAATGTATTTTTTGTCTTTGAGTCCATTTATATGATTAATGATGTTTATTGACTTGCATATATTGAACCATCACTGCATCTCTGGGATAAAGCCTCCTTGATCATGGTGAATGATCTTTTTATGTGTGTTTGTATGCAGTTTGCAAGTATTTTGTTGAGAATTTTTACGTCTATGTTCATTAAGGATATGGGTCTATAGTTTTCTTTTTTGGTTGTGTCTTTATCCAGTTTGGGTATTAGGGTGATGTTGGCTTCATAGAATGAATTTGGGAGTTCTCCCTGTGTTTCTATCACTTTGAATAATTTAAGTAGTATTGGTTGGAGGTCTTCTTTAAATGTCTGGTAGAATTCTGCTGTAAATGCATGTGGACCTGGGCTCTTTTTTGTTGGGAGGCTTTGTATTACACTTTCAGTTTCCTTATATGTTATGGGTCTGTTTAAACTGTTGACCTCTTCTTGGTTTAAGTTTGGAGGTTGCCACTTTTTTCAGATATCTATCCATTTCTTTTAGACTTTCAGATCTAGTAGTGTATAGGTTTTTAATACATTCCCTTATAATGGTTTGAATCTTTTGGGTGTCTGTTGTGATGTTTCCCCTTTCACCTCTGATTTTGTTGATTTGGATTTGCTCTTTCTTTCTTTCTTTTGATTAATTGGACTAAGGGTCTGTTTATCTTGTTTAGCTTTTTACAGAACCAGCTCTTGGATTTCTTGATTCTTTGTATTGTTTTCTTTGTTTCTATTTCATCAATTTTTGCTCTGATTTTTGTTATTTTTTCTCTTCTGATGGGTTTGGGTTTCATTTGTTCTTGCATTTCCAGTGCCTTGAGTTGCAGTGTTGGGTCATTTATTTGGACCTTTTCAAGTTTTTTATTGTAGGTAGTTAGAGCTATAAACTTCCCTCTTAGGACAGCTTTTAATGTGTCCCAGAGGTTGTGTTGTGTTGTATTGTTCTTTTCGTTGAATTTCAGGAATTCTTTTATTTTTTTCTTAATTTCTCCTTTGACCGGCTCATTGTTTAGGAGTGTGTTGATCACCTGCCATGAGTTCATGTAGTGACTAGGGCTTCCTCCAGTGTTGATTTTGAGCTTTATTGCATTGTGGTCTGATAGAATGCATGGAATTATTTCAATATTTTTTGTACTTGTTGTTTTTTTTTGTTTTTTTTTGCCCAGTATGTGGTCAGTCTTTGAAAAAGTTCCATGAGGTGCCGAGTAGAAAGTGTATTCTTTGGTGTTTGTGTGGAATAATCAAAAGATGTCTGTTAGGTCCATTTGATGGATGGTATCATTTAAGTCAGACGTGTCTCTGTTTATTCTTTGTCCAGTTGACCTGTCTAATGGAGACAGCATGTTATTGAAGTCCCCTACTATTACTGAGTTGTGGTTAATCTGTGTCTTATTGTCCTGTAGTGTTGTTTTTATGAATTTGGGTGCAACAGAATTTGGTGCATATATGTTAAGTATTGTAGTATCTTCTTGGTTAACTGTTCCTTTGATCAGAATGAATTGACTCTCCTTGTCTCTTTGAATTCTAATTTGTCAGATATTAGAATTGCAACCCCTGATTGTTTTTTAGTGCCATTTGCTTGGAATATTCTTTTCAATCCTTTTACCTTAAGGTAGTGCCTGTCCTTGAAGGTGAGATGGGTTTCTTTCAGACAGAAAATAGTTTGATTTTGTTTCTTAATCCATTGTGTCTTTTGACTGGGGAGTTCAGTCCATTGATATTTAAGGTTATTATTGAAAGATGTGCATTGGTTGCCATCATTTTGATTGCTGTTTGTCTTCTCTGTGTAATTTCGTGTTTCCAAGATTATATCTTTGTTTATTTTCTTTACTTGTCCCTATAGTTGTTTCTCTCTCTGCTCTCTGTATTGCTTCAAGTATTCTTTGGAGGCCTGGTTTTGTGGACATGTATTCTTTCAGGCTGTTTGT